GCATGTGTTGTCCAGTTTTCTGAGCACCACTTACTGAGCAGACTGCTCCCTCTGCGCAGTCTCGTGGTCACAGATAGTCGCCGTGCTGTGTTGGTGTGTGTCTGGCTCCGCGTCCACAGCGTGGATCTGCGTGTCGGTCCTATGCCGGTCCCCGTGGCCCGGCGGAGTGTGGTGCCGGTGGCGCTCTCTCCCTCCCAGATTGCTTGGGCCACCGGGGTCTTGTCAGCTCCGTGTCAGTGGCAGGACTGTTGGCTCCAGGTCTGTGAGGAACGTCACAGGCATGTGGATACGGAGGGCATGGACTCTCCCGATTGCTTAGCGTGGTGTAGACACTATAACAGTAGTAAGTCTTCCGATCCCTAAGTACCGAATATGCTTCCATCTATTTGCATCTTCCTCAACTTCTCTCTTCAATGTCTTATGCTTTTCTGAGTACAGGTCCTTTGATGCAATTGTACGTAAATGGGGTTGTTTTCTTTTTCTTTTTACCTAAAAGGTTTTTCTTGCATGAACCCTCTCCTGGGACAGCGGCACTCACCACCAATAAAGCCGCTGGAGAAGCTTTACTCCCCTTGTCCAGGCTGCAGCCACTGTTTGCAGGACCAGCACCGGCCGTTGCAGGCCCCTGGCTTTCTCATTCTGTCTGGCATTCCTTCCTTCTGTGCTTCCTTAAGGCCTTCTTCGCAGACAGGCCATGACTTACATGGGTTCATTTTTCTTTGCATAACTGAAGGAGTCGTGAATCATGGCAAAGCTCGTTGTCTTGACAACACCAAAGTGGTTTCTGAATCCAAATACAAAGATGGCGTCAGGTGTGGGCTTGCGCATGTTGGCTAGTTTTCCCGAATTTCCCTCTCAGGTACTATTGTGTGCCCTGGCTGAAGGGTGTTAATGGACATTTGTTTCCGTTCAGTAGTCTCTTGGTCATGAAGCTCCTGGTCTGATAGTTGGTGTGTTGTTCAGGAGAGTGGCCAATCTTTAAGCAGCCAAAGAGAAAAAGAGGGAATTGTGTAATCTCTCTTTCTGATAGTTCATAATTAATGATTAAAATGAAACCAATTTCTGTAGGCAAGGAGAAACCAAGATGGCAGCATAGGTAAATGCCTAACTGCAGCCTCACACAACAATTTCAAAAAATACAAATAAGCCGGGACCGGTTTGGCTCAGTGGATATGGAGGGCATAGAGCGTCAGCCTGCAGACTGAAGGGTCCTGGGTTCGATTCCAGTCAAGGGCATGTTCTTTGGTTGCGGGCACATCCCCAGGAGGCAGCTGGTTGATGTTTCTCTCTCATCGACGTTTCTAACTCTCTGTCACTCTCAATTCCTCTCTGTGTAAAATCAATAAAATATATATTTTTTAAAAATACAACTAAAATATAAAGTGGACATTATCCAGAACTATAGGAAAGTTGACTGACTGGAAATTCTATAATTAGAAGGAAAGAGAAAACCAAAAGGAAAATCAGAGGAGCTGTAAGAGCCTAAGGTACGGAGACACGGTGCGCACATGGGGAGAGAACGGAGCCGGAGAGGAGGGGCGGATGAGTGCCTGGTGGGCATTCCCTAGTGGGAAGGAGATAAAAGCTCCAGACTATGCTGAACCCCAGTTTTGACTGCACTGAACCCCAGTTCTAGGCCAGACCCTGGGGATCCAGGCTTATACAGAGGGAATCTAGGCTGTAAGGCAGAAACTCGGGGGAGTGGCAAAAGGCAGAGCCCCAGAGTCGCACACATTGCGCACAGAGGACAGACTGTTGACTCTGCCGCTGGATTGCCCTAGCAGGAAGAAGACAAAAGCTCTGGACTGTGCTGAGCCCCAGTTCTGACTTCACTGAACCCCAGTTCTAGGCCAGACCCTGGGGACCCAAGCTCATACGGAGGGAATCTGGGCTGTAAGGCGGAAACAACAGGGAGCGGCAAAAGACAGAGCCCCAGAGTTGCGCACGTTGCACACTGAACCCCACTTCCAACTGCACTGAACCCCAGTTCCAGGCTCATTACTGTCTGGTAGTGGGCGAAATTCAAAGGCACCTTTCTCTCAGAGGTGCTTGCAGCGAGTACCAAAGCATCGAGTACCAAAGGACACTGAGGAACACTGAGACTCAGGAACCTCATAGGGCAGGGCTGAAAGGAAGTCAAGGCTGTAGGCTCCACCCTGAAACTCCGCCCCATCCAAGCTGAGCATAGAGGCTTTTGTGCATAGACACAGCTGATTCTCACAGCTAATTGGCCTGGAGGTCAGTTCTGCCCAGTGATACCAACAACAATCAAGACTTAACTACAATAAGGCTGTACACACAGTCCTCAAAGGGGTGCACCAAGAATGTCCACCTCAGGTAACTGGGAGGCTGACCCACTGAAGCATATAGGACACCAAGCACACAAAGTTACCCTGCCAACTCAGGGAAGCAGTGAAATGAGGAGCCAAAGAAACAAATCACAAACAAAAGAAATGGAGGAAAGCAAACTACTGGATATAGAATTCAAAACCACGCTTATAAGGTTTTTCAAGAATTTCCTAGAAAAGGCCGATAAAATAAATGAGACCTATGAGGATATGAAAAGGGATCAACTAGAAATAAAGAATACATTCTCTGAAATAAAAAATATTATACAGAGTTCTAAAAACAGAAAGGTTTGGAACATAAAGAATCAAGTGAAAGATTTGGAACATAAAGAGCCAGAAGACACTCCTCTGCAGAAGCAAGAAGACAAGAGAATCCAGAAAGTTGAAGGTAATGTAAGAAACCTCTGGGACAACTTCAAGCGAACCAACATCAGAATTATGGGGGTCCCAGAAGAAGAGAGAGAGCAAGATACTGAAAACACACTGAAAGAAATAGTGACAGAAAACTTCCCCCACCTGGTGAAAGAATTAGACTTACAAGTCCAGGAAGTGCACAGAACCCCAAACAAAAGGAACCCAAAGAGGACCACACCAAGACACATCATAATTAAAATTCCAAGAGCAAAAGACAAAGAGAGAATACTAAAAGCAGCAAGAGAGAAACAGATAGTTACCTATAAAGAAGCACCCATACGATTGTCAGCTGATTTCTCAACAGAAACCATGCAGGCCACATGGGAATGGCAAGAAATATTCAAGGTGATGAATAGCAAGAACCTACAGCCAAAAATACTCTACCCAGCAAAGCTATCACTCAGAATCGAAGGTCAGATAAAGAGCTTCACAAATTAAAAAAAAGCTAAAAGAGTTCATCACCGCCAAACCAGAATTATATGAATTGCTGAAGGAGGCTCTTTAGGAAGAAGAAGAAAATAAAGATAAAAATTATGAACAACAAATATGTAACTATCAACAAGTGAATCTAAAAACCAAGGGAATTAAAAAACCTGATGAACAATATTAACTGTTGAATATAACAGAATCCGAGGTATGGAAGGGGAGTGGACTGATAATTCTTGGGGAAAAGGGGAGTGGGGAGTGCGAGAAAGAGACTGAACATAAACTGTGCACCTATGGATGAGGACAATGGGGGGTAGGGAGAGGGCAGAGGGTGGGGTGGGAACCTGGTAGAGGGGGGAAAAATGAGGAACTTTTGTAATAATAAGAACAATAAAGATTTATTTTTTAAAAATGAAACCGATTCCCAAATACTAATTTTTTACTGAATTCATTTATCAGTTCTTGTTTTTTGGTAGAACTTTTAGGGTTCTCTATGTATAATATCATGCCATTTGCAAATAATGAGTTTGGCTTTTGCCTTTCCAATTTGAATGCCTTTTCTTTATTTTTCTTGTCTGATTGCTAAGTCTAGTACATCCTCCACTATGTTGAATAAAAGTGTTAGAAGTGGGAGATTTCTTCTTGTTCCTGATCTTAAGGAAAATGTTTTTAGGTTTTAATCATTGTATAGAATGTTAGCTGTGGGTATGTCATTTATGACCTTTATTATGTTGAGGTATGTTTTCTCTCTTCCTACTTTGCTGAGAGTTTTTATCATAAATGGATGGATTTTGTCATATGCTATTTCTGCAACTATTGTTATGGTCATATGGTTATTATGCTTGTTTTATGTATGTGGTATGTTATGCTAATTGATTTGTGGATATTAAACCAACCTTGCATCCCAGGAATAAATTCTACTTGATCATGGTGTATAATCTTTTTAATGTATTTCTGAATTCAATTTGCTGTGTGTGTGTGTGTTTAGGATTTTTGCATCTCTATTCATCAGGAATATTGGCACATACTTTTATATATATATATATATGTGTGTGTGTGTGTGTGTGTGTGTGTGTGTGTGTGTATTTGTGTGTGTGCCTTTGCCTGGCTTTCTAACAGGGAAGTGCAGGATGAAGTGAATAAAGTGAATTTTGGGAGCCCTCCCTCCCCCTTCTATGTTTGGAACAGTTTGAGAAGGTTAGGTGTTAAATTTTCTTACAATTACTTGGTAAAATTCCCTGTGAAGTCATCTGGTCAAGGACTTTTATTTGTTGGGAGTTTTGTTTTAAAATTACTGATTCAGTTTCATATGTTCTCGAATATTCCAGCTATTGTTCTGTTCAGATTTTCTCTTACTTCTTTATTCAGTCTTGGCAGATTCTTTCTTCCTTCCTTCTTTTCTCTCCTCTCTTTCCCCCCCCCCCTCTTTTTTTCTTTCTCTCTCTTTTTTTTGTTAACAAGACCTTACCTGAGGATATTCTTCCATTGATTTTTAGAAAGTGTGAAAGGGATTGGGAGAGATGCAGAGAGAGAAACATCAATGTGTGAGAGAGACACATTAATTGGTTGCCTCACACATGTGCCCCTACCAGGGCCAGGGAATCAAATCTACAACCAGGATGTGTGCCATTGGCCAGAATTGAACCCAGGACCCTTCGGTCCACAGGCCCACACTCTGCCCACTGGCACCCTGACCACAGGAAAGTGGGTTCTTTTAAAAAATGAAGACAAGCTTCTCTCAACATCCTGTTTTCCCTCTAACCTCGGGCCTCCAATCCTGCTGGCAACTAATATTCGCTTTATCTCTTTCAGGAAATGACCGAAACAGCCTAGATTTCAACAGGCAGGTAAGGACTTTCAAAATAAAACTTTATTCAATTAATTTGGGGGGTCATTTTTACAATGCCAGATGTGAAAAAACAAAAAAGAGTAGGTGTTTATTCAAAGACCCAACGTTTGAAGATCGGAAGGGGATCTGACACAGCCCAGTGCCCGGTCTCACTCTCCCCTCGAGGAGCGCGGACCAAGTGCCTCTTAGAGGGGCTGCAGCACTCTGGCCGGCTGTTTGCCCGTCTGACGTGTTGGGGAATTTGTGGGGGTGCCGAGGGCGGTACCTGGGTTTCTCATGGAATTCCTGGTCTTGGGCAGGAGAGAGTGGATGAAGAGGGGAAGTGGGCATGAGAGCGGAGGCGGCAGTGGCCGTGCTGGGGGTGGCCAGGGGGGCCTGGGCGGTAGGCAGCGCTGGGTAGTACAGGGATGAGGATGTGTGAGGAGAAGGTGGAGAGGAGGGGAAGATTTCTCTTAGGGCCAATGGAGGCCGGGCGCTGGGACGGCCAGAGGCCTGGGTCTCAGGAGGAGGCTAAGCCGAGAGGCAGCGTGGAGGCCGCAAGTCAGAGGGGCGGCTTTGGTCCGGTCCTGCCACTCACCGGCTAGATGACCTTGGCCAGGTCCCTTAGTAGTTTGGGCCTGAATTTTCTCAGCTGCAGAATAAATTTGTTTCATAAACTTGGGTTGGGTTGGGGGGTGCTATGTCAGGTGTGGGAATGCAAAGACAATTACAGTGTGGTTCCTGCCCTGGAGGAGTCCCAGTCCAGCGTGAAGTGTGGGACTAGGGAAAAAGGGAGAAGGAGAGGGACAGGGAAGGGTGGAGGGAGCAGGGAACAGAGAAATATTCTTTTTTAAAAAAAAGTATTTCAATGGTATGGTTTTTTAAATTTATTTTTACAGAGAGAGGAGGGGAGATGGAGAGATAAAAACATCATCCATCAGCTGCCTCCTGCATGCACCACCCCTCTTCCCCCTGGGAGTCAAGCCCACAACCTGGGCACATGCCCCGACTGGGAACGGAACCAGTGACCTCTTGGTTCACAGAACGATGCTCAACCACTGAGCCACACTAGCAGGTGAGATAGAGACGCTTGAGTGAATATGTATAGTACAGCCTCATTCTCACTACAGACATGTAAAAAGCATGGCCGGTGTGGCTCATTGATTGAGCATTGACCTATGAACCAGGAGGTGGAGGTTTGATTCCCGATCAGGGCACAGGCCCGGGTTGCAGGCTTGATCCCCAGTGGGTACCCAGGAGGCAGCAGATCAGTGATTCTCTCTCATCATTGATGCTTCCATCTCGCCCTCTCCCTCCTTCTCTGAAATCAACACACACACACACACACACACACACGTATTTTAAAAAGCATAGTGTCACATAGAAATGGGAACTCAGGCAGGCTTCATGGAGGAAGAATATTTGCGTTGCTTCTGAAGGCAGAGAAAAGTAGGCGGGAGAGGGGGTGTCTGTGGGGAAGGGAAGATGGCCCCCAAGTGGCCATGCATTGGGTGAGCACTGCTCTCCGCCCACTCTGAACATGGAGCCCAGGGTGGGACGGGAGCCTGGGCAGTTTCCTCCTTTGTCTGAAGAGGGACTTGGTGCCTCGGCTAACGTTCCTGAAAGCCAGCGCTCTGTGTGTGTCCCTTGCAGTCCCAGAGGGGCCAGCTGGGTCCAAGCCGGAACCTCTGGGGGGCAGCTTTGCCAGGGCTCTCCTTGGGGACCTGAGTGCCCATGGAGGCCAGCCCTCTCTCTTCCCCGAGACATGAACGGGACTGCACCCTGAGCCCTCTGCGGGCGAGGAGGAAGCACCGCACCAGCAGCTCCTGTATGCCCGATCTGCTACTGGAGGAAGGCTGGGAGACGTGAGGGCGTCTGTAAGGGGGTGGGAGGGTGTCTAAGGGGGTGGGAGGGTGTGTAAGGGTGGGAGGGTGTGTAAGGGGTGGGAGGGTGTGTAAGGGGGTGGGAGGGTGTGTAAGGGGTGGGAGGGTGTGTAAGGGGGTGGGAGGGTGTGTAAGGGGGAGGGAGGGTGTGTAAGGGGGAAATGGGAAGGTGTGTAAGGGGGTGGGAGGGTGTGTAAGGGGTGGGAGGGTGTGTAAGGGGTGGGAGGGTGTGTGAGGGGTGGGAGGGTGTGTAAGGGGTGGGAGGGTGTGTAAGGGGGTGGGAGGGTGTGTAAGGGGATGGGAGGGTGTGTAAGGGGTGGGAGGGTGTATAAGGGGGTGGGAGGGAGTGTAAGGGGTGGGAGGATCTGTAAGGGGGTGGGAGGGTGTGTAAGGGGGTGGGAGGGTGTGTAAGGGAGGGGGAGGGTGTGTAAGGGGGGAAGGGTGTGTAGGGGGGTGGGAGGGTGGGTAAGGGGTGGGAGGGTGTGTAAGGGGTGGGAGGGTGTGTAAGGGGTGGGAGGGTGTGTAAGGGGTGGAAGGGTGTGTAAGGGAGTGGGAGGGTGTGTAAGGGGTTGGGGGGGGTGTGTAAGGGGTGGGCGGGTGTGTGTAAGGGGTGGGAGTGGTTTGTCTTAAGGGGTGGAGGGTGTGTAAGGGGTGGCAGGGTGTGTAAGGGGTGGGAGGGTGTGTGTAGGGGTGGAGGGTGTGTTAAGGGGTGGGAGGGTGTGTGAAGGGGTGGAGGGTGTGTGAGGGGTGGGAGGGTGTGTGAGGGGTGGGAGGGTGTGTAAGGGGTGGGAGGGTGTGTGAGGGGTGGGAGGGTGTGTAAGGGGGGGGGAGGGTGTGTAAGGGGGGGGAGGGTGTGTAAGGGGGAAGTGGGAGGTGTGTCAAGGGGGGGAGGGTGTGTAAGGGGGAAATGGGAGGGTGTGTAAGGGGTGGGAGGGTGTGTAAGGGGGTGGGAGGGTGTGTGAGGGGGTGTCAGGGATGGGCGGATGGTAAGGGGTGAGAGGGTTGTGGAAGGGTGGGAGGGTGGGAGGGGTGGGTGTGAGGGGTGGTGGCGTGGTGTGTAAGGGGTGGGAGGTTGTGTAAGGGGGTGGGATGGTGGGTGTGTAAGGGGTGGAGGGTGTGTCAGGGGTGGGCGGGTGTGTAATGGGTGGGAGGGTTGTCTGGGGTGGGCGGGTGTGTCCGGGGTGGGGAGGTGTGGTGGTCAGTGTGGGAGGTGGTCAGGCGCTGGGAGGGGGTGTGTACCGGGGGTGGGCGGTGGTGTGAAGGGAGTGGGAGTGTGTGTAAGTGGGGTGGAGGGTGTGTAAGGGGGTGGAGGGTGTGTAAGGGGTGGGCGTGGTGTGTAAAGAGGTGGGGAGGGTTTGTAAGTGGGGGAGGGTGTGTAAGGTGTGTTTAGGGAGAGGTTTGTAAGGGGGTAGGGTGGTGAGGTGTGTGTTTAAGGGTAGGGTGGTAGTGTGGTGTACGGGGGTGGGAGGTGTGTCAGGGTGGGAGGTGTGTACGGGGGAAATGGGAGGGTGTGTCCCGTGTGGGAGGGTGGTAGGGGTGGTGAGGGTGTTGTAGGGTGATGGGTGGGAGGGTTGAAATGTGTAGGGGTGTGTAAGAGTGTGTGGGGTGTGTCAGCGGGTGGGCGGGTGTGTCAGGGGTGGGACGGGTGTGTCAAGGGTGGGAGGGTGGTGGCCGGGGGTGGGAGGGTGTGTCCGGGGGTGGGAGGTGTGGAAGGGGTGGTGGAGGGTGTGGTACGGGGTGGAGGTGTGTCAAGGGGGTGGGCGGGTGTGTCAGGGGTGGAGGGGTTGTGTCCGGGGTGGGCGGGTGTGTCACGGGGTGGGGGCGTTTTGTAAGGGGTGGGGGGAGGTGTGTGTAAGGGGTGGGAGGGTGTGTAAGGGGTGGGAGGTTGTGTAAGGGGTGGGAGGGTGTGTAGGGGGTGGGTGGGGAGTGTTTGTAAGGGGAAATGGGAGGGTGTAAGTGGGGGGAGGGGTTGTGTAAGGGGTGTGACGGGTTTGTGGGTGGGAGGTCGTGTCTAGGGGGAGGGAGGGTTGGTACGGGGGGAACTGGGAGGGTGTGTAAGGGGGTGGGAGGGTTGTGTAAGGGTGGGTGGGAGGGTTTGTGTAGGGGGTGGGAGGGTTGTGTCAGGGGGTGGGAGGGTGTGATAGGGGTGGGAGGGCTGTGTATGGGGTGGATGGTGTGTGAGGGGTGGGAGGGTGTGTGAGGGGTGTGGAGGGTGTGTGGAGGGGTGGGAGGGTGTTAAGGGGTGGTGATGGTGTGTAAGGGGTGGGAGGGTGTGTGTGTAAGGGGGTGGTAGGTTGTGTAAGGGGTCTCGGGTGAGGGTGTTGTGAGGGGTGGGAGGGTGTGTAAGGGGGTGGGAGGATGTGTGAGGGGGGTGGGAGGGTTGTGTAAGGGTGGTGGGTGGTTTGTAAGGGGTGGAGGGTGTGTGTACAGGGGTGTGGGAGGGTGTTTAAAGGGTGGGAGTTGTGTATTAAGGGGTGTGGGAGGGTGTGTTGTTGTAAGGGGTGGGAGGGTGTGTAAGGGGGTGGGAGGGTGTTTGTGAGGGGTGGGTGGGAGGATGTGGAGGAGTGGGGGTTGTGAGGGGTGGTGAGGGTGTGTAGGGTGGTGGAGGGTGTGTAAGGGGTGGGAGGGTGTTGTAAGGGGGTGGGAGGGTGTGTAATGGGTTGGGAGGGTGTTTAATGGGTGGAGGTTGTGTAATGGGGTGGGAGGGTGTGTAGTTTCTAAGGGGGGCGTGGGAGGGTGTGTAAGGGGGAGGGAGGGTTGTGTTGTAAGGGTGGTGGGAGTTGTGTAAGGGTGCTGGGAGGTTGTGTCAGGGGTGGGAGGGTTTGTGTATAAGGGGTGGGGAGAGAGTGTAAGGCGGGTGGGAGGATCTTGTAAGGGGGTTGGGAGGGTGTGTAGGGTTGTTTGTTTTTTGTAAGGTGGGGGTGGCAGGGTTTGTTAAGGGGTTGGAGGATGTGTGAGGTGGGTGGGTGGGTGTGTGTGGGGTGTGGTGGTTTGTGTAAGGGGTGTGGTGGGTGTGTAAGGGGTTGGGAGGGTGTGTAAGGGGGTGGGAGGGTGAGTGGTGAAGGGGGTGGGAGGGTGTGTAAGGGGTTAGGGAGGGTGTGTGTTGTAAGGGGGATGGGAGGTGTGTGGTGTGTAT